CCCCAAAACCCCAAAACCCCAAAACCCCAAAACCCCAAAACCCCAAAACCCCAAAACCCCAGCACGTTTTGGCGTAATAGAACTATGGGAGGAATAAGAATTTATCTAAATAAATTTTAATATTAGCAATATTGCAATACAGGTGGCAAGGATTGACATTCCGATGATGTCTTCCCCAGTGAATGAGTAGTTGAATAGGAAGATGTCGATGAAGATCGTGAAGATTATCTCAAGGTTCTTCAAGGGGCCTACGTAAGTGGCTTGCATGTACTGAGTGGCTACATAATACATAATCATGAAGGCAGTTCCCGTAACTGCGTGAACTATATTGAGGATTAGCTATAACTTACGCATTAGCATGAAAATATCATAATTTGTGTACATCTGGAAGTGTAACACATCGTCAAATAGCAGGAAGCATACCACAGTGGCAACTACGAAGTGCGTTCCAAAAGCAGCTCCGAATACGCTAAAAATGAACCTTGTACAGATTAAGCTGGCGTGAAGCTACAATCGAAGCTCCACTTGCCCAGATCGCTAGTACTGCTGCAAAATAGGCAGAAATACCTCCAGTCTTGTGAGTGTCTTCTTTGCCAAGAGACAAAATGTACACTCCCACAGTTCCACCAACTAGGCAAAGGATGTAGGGTAAACTGAGCCGTTCTCTTAAGAATATCCATGCCAAGATTGCACAAGTAATAGCACTGCAGCTGAACATCAGTATTGATTTTGAAAGAGGAAGCCTAGCCACAGTATAACTCTCTGAGGAGTAATTTATCACTCCTAGAACTGACCTCAAGAATATAAAGAAGAAGGCTCCTTTAGGTAAACTTGGAATCTGCTTATAAGATTTAACTCCAAGCGAGAAGAAGAAATTAAAAATAGCCATGACTCCTCCCCTGAACACGATTATGTCATATACTGAGAGGTATGGGCTGTGAAATGACATCAGCCTTATTAAAGTGTGCTTCAAAGTCAGAATGAGAACTCCAGTGAACATTATGCTGAACCCAATAATGTAGTTCCTTTTAGCGTCATCAACTTCAGGTTTATTCACCTTTACTGTACAACCTTCAATATCTTTACTATCCTCAAGAACGAAGGAGCTTCGCTTTGCAAAGCTTTTTCCTGCTCCATTTTCGAGAAGTAGAATTTTTCTGCCAGGCAGGGAATCACTAGTCCCCATCTCGACGTTTTCATCTAGCCTTTTGTGCATATTTGATAATTTTGTCTCTATATAAAATTTTATTCTGGGGTTTTGGGGTTTTGGGGTTTTGGGGTTTTGGGG